TATCTCAATTAGTAGGCAGATAGGCACAAATGTAACATCCACTTTTCATCACTATTTATGTTATGAATCCCATGTAATGGAGGGTGAGCCTATAGAATACTTAAACATAAAACATCAGGAGATACGTCAGCTCGTTTACCGGCTTATTCCATAAAAAAATTGTTAAGTACCTTTAAAATGACAGCATTTGGGCTGTAAAAGGACTTTTTTAATTATGGAGGGTCCGATAAAATGAAAAAGAATGCAAGTGATTCCGTTTCCAGCGTAGTTTACACTTTTTTTTTACAAGCCGGTAAACGGGCAGACGGATCACCTGGTGGTAAGCAATCGGCGTCGCCCATGGACACCTGGAACACCAGAAACGTTACAAGTGCGTTACCGACCTTTTGGGGATTAGGAGTTTGAGGATCGTTGGGGATTCAGGGATTGGGGAGATTGGGGAAGGGGAGGGTAATTGGGCCTCCGGTAACCTCACTCACACGACGAAACACAACGCAAGCGTTGCTTCACGTCTCGGTTTTATGTGAGCTTATTAAACGCGCGAGATCTTTTTATACGCCACAGCCAGTAATCTATATATATATAAAAGAAAGTCGTGTTAGTTACACCACTTATAACTCAAGAACGGCAGAATAGATTTGGCTGAAAATTGGTAGGGAGGTAGCTTAGAGCCAGGAGACCGACATAGGATACTTTTTGACCAATTTTTTTTTTACTTTGTACCAAAAATCACGAACGGGGACGGGAAAAAATGGGATTACGCGTACTAAGTCGCGGGCAGAAGCTAGTTACATATAACCAGTAATTGTATATATTTAAGTTACTTGATATTCTGTAATTAACACCTAAGTTCGTCAAGTTCCAATAATTTGTCGACCTTGCTTAAATGAAGGACAATATTATTAATTCTCTTATGAACATGATTGATGTACGGAAATGTAATAAAACATAAATATGAGTAGGTGTTACATTGTACAGTGGCATAATGTGCACCTCTGCCTACCCCTTCGGGGATAAAAGGCGTGATGTTATGATGACTTTTTTTTTGTTTGAGTAACTTTTATTGCATACTAGCTGTGCCTGCGACTTCGTTCACGTGGAACAGTGATTTCATTCACAGCTCCTTCCTCGTAGTTGATAGCATGATAATATGTAGCCTATATGTTGACCCGCTTGTTAGTAATATTCATGCAAAATTTGAAATAAATCCATGCAATACTTTTTGAGATCATCTCGGACATACATACAGACAAACAGACAAAAATTCAACAAAACAGGTTTTTGTTTCTGTAGACTGTAGATTACGACCAAAGCATTCTTTTAAAAAAATATTCTATGTAGGTACAGTTTTCACTTTCCTATGGTTATATTAAATATGTAGGTATAGACTATAGAAGATATACAACTTAAAATTAACTTAAACTAGTATTAATATTATAAATAGTACGAATAATTAAAAACTAAAACAATTACCTTAAAAAAATATATTTATTACCTTCTATTTACGTTCATCATCACTACCACCAACCCCATGTAACAGTACACTGCTGAAGTATGGGATAAGCCAGCTCTAAAGATTAGGGATTCGATATAATCTCCACATTTGACAAGAGGATTGGAGATTGCAGTTTAAAAGGTTTAAGTTTAAGCTCTACCACCCGATCTTAATGTGTAGTGACTTGGTCCGGTCTAGGATACCCGCGGGAAGAGCAGTGATGATGGAAAAATTCAACTTTAAATAATCACCATTACACATACATAACATCACGCCTGTTATCCCCGAAGGGGTAGGGCAGAAGTGCACATTATGTAACAGCCACTTTTAACTAATTATGTTATGAGTTCCATGTAATATGGGGTGAGCCTATTGCCATATACCGGGCACATTTCCAGACTCCGTGCTACTACTAAGGTTTTTACAAACCTATTAATACTTTTCCCGACCCGGGAATCGAACCCGAGACCCCTTGGCCGGCAGTTGCGCTTGCGACCATTAGGCCAATGAGGCAGTCACTGTAACTGGCCAAATTTCTATCAATTTTATAATTCAAAATGCATTTTAGGTTTCTTAATTACAATTTACATTAAACTGATGTAATTTGTGCGCATATTACATTCGATTGATGCGCGCCGATGCATGTTATCCCCGACGTTGCAACAACGAGCTATACACCTCAAAATCACGTGGGAGAGCCATGCTTCGGTACGAATAGGCCGACTCGACCGGAGTGATACCACGGCCGAGCAGAAGCATTAGTACCAGTTTGATTCACGTTAAAAAAAAAATAAACATCATTTATTTCGGACATCTAAGAAATACATAAAGTTAATTAATATCTATACCATTCATCATTAATACCATACCATCGCAATTATACAAAACTAGCTTTTACCCGCGGCTTCGCTCGCGTCACAAAAGGTTAAAAAGTAGCCTATGTGACATATACCAATACACACAGCGCCATCTATACCAATACTTTTGTTTTTCCTCGGGAATATCAAATTTTTCCGGGTTAAAAAGTACCCTATTATTTAATCCGGACTTCTAACTTTACGTCTGCAAAAATTCAAAGCAATAGGTTGAGTAGTTACGGCGTGAAAGTGGAACAAACAAACAAACAAACAAACTCACTTTCCGATTTATAATATTATAGTAAGGATTTAGTCAAATATCATAATTATATTAAAATCAGTCACACTTAAACTTAAAGAGAGAAGTCAACATAGATTCAAAATTTCAACCATACAGAAATACATAATTATTAAATTATACTCAAACTCAAAAGCATATATTTCAATTAAACCATCACTTGGCACTTTTGAAACGTCAACAAATATGAAATAAATAATAGTCTGTCAGTCTGTCCGTCAGTGAAGCTAGGCGCTCGTTCCAAAATGTCGATTCAAGTGGAGAAGAACGAGCAAGAAACTCCATTCGTTACTATTAAAAAAAAATTTCATCACACTGCTCTGATACATATTCCAATATTGTACACACATGTGAGAATAATGTAAAGACATAAATAAATTATTAAATAACTCATCACAAATGACATCCAGAGTGGAGATGAGAATCTGTCCGCTACAGTCTCCAGGATTTTGTTCCGGCTGCCACGCAATCTGCAGATCAGGGGTGCTGTCTTTTGTTTAAAGTAATCGTAACGAGTACGCATTCGGCGCTCTGATTGGTTGCTTTATTCGTGCCGGCCAATCAGAAGCCTTAATACGAGTTTCGGTTCGGTGCTGTGATTGGCCGGCTCTAATAAACCAACCAATCAGAGCACAGAACGCCGTCTCATTTCGATTACTTTAAACGTAAAATAAACTCGTGCCTACTTTTTTTTTAAGGCGGGAAAATCATCGAATGACTGCTCCCGTCTGGGTGAGGCGGAAGGGAGTGTCAGACTCTTACTGACTAAAAACCACTCCGTTCCTACTCCTGCACTTCGAGCCGGAGCCCCGGTTACCCGTTAGGTTCTCCGCGACAACTCGTACCTACTAAGACCTCAGAAAACCGACGTGAAACAACGCTGTATGTTATCATTATGAATCATCACTTAGTCTCTATTCCCAAATTGCTAATCTCCAAATCTCTATCGCACTCACTTCTCTATTGGTGCGGGTAGTCGCGGAGAACCTAACGGGTAACCGGGGCTCCGGCTCGAAGTGCAGAAGTAAGAACGGGGTGATTTTTAGTCAGTAAGAGTCTGACACTCGATCATTTTCCCCCCATAAAAAAAAAATGATGCGGGTTTCCTTAACATCAGGTGATCCGTCTCCTCGTTTGCTTCTTATTGAGTACTAACTTTTACCCGCGGCTTCGTTCGCGTCACAAAAGAATAAATAGTAGCCTATGTGACATATACCAATACACACAGCGCCATCTATACCAATACTTTTGTTTTTCCTCGGGAATATCAATTTTTTCCGGGATAAAAAGTGTCCTATTATTTAATCCGGACTTCGAACTTTACGTCTGCAAAAATTTAAAGCAATCGGTTGAGTAGTTAAGTCGTGAAAGTGGAACAAACAAACAAACAAACTCACTTTCAGATTTATAATATTAGTAAGGATGTATTTCTTATCTTATTGTATATTTTATTAAGTACTGCTTATAGTATTAAAGACAAGTACGTTGCGGTATAAAGATATTATGTGAAACTTCTGCTCGCGGCTTTGTCCACGTTTCCGTAGACTAAAAAGCAGCACATCTTTACTTCCTTACTATATATTATATATATATATATATATATATATATATATAATATTATAAATCTGAAAGTGAGTTTGTTTGTTTGTTTGTTTGTTCCACCTTCACGCCGTAACTACTCAACCGATTGCTTTGAATTTTTGCAGACGTAAAGTTAGAAGTCCGGATTAAATAATAGGGTACTTTTTAACCCGGAAAAAATTGATATTCCCGATGAAAAACAAAAGTATTGGTATACCTAGATGGCGCTGTGTGTATTGGTATATGTCACATGGGCTACTTTTTATTCTTTTGTGACGCGAGCGAAGCCGTGAGTAAAAGCTAGTGTATTATATAAAAACAATCCCGTTCCAAATTTCATCCAGATCCCTGCGACGTTTTGACATGACGTTCCTCGTACTCTGGCCGCGCTCAATGGTCTCCTGGATTCCAATCCATCTAGTGATCTGTTTGCAGACGGATGGAGGGAGATTTTATCAGAATGCTTGAAGTACTGCCTCGTTGGCCGAGTGGTCGCAAATGCGACTGCCGGGCATGGGGTATCGGGTTCGATTCCCGGGTCGGGCAAAGTATTACTGGGTTTTTTTAAATCTCAGTAGTAGCACGGACTCTGGAATTGTGCCCGGTATGTGGCAATAGCCTCACCCCTTATTACATGGGACTCATAACATAAATAGTGAAAAGTAGGTGTTACTTCTGTGTGCACTTCTGCCTACCCCTTCGGGGACAAAAGGCGTGATGTTATGTTATGTGTTTTTACTCTGTTTTTTCTTACCATTTTACTTCTCAAATGTTGCCAGTCCAAAAAAACATCAAAATAGAACACCCACACAACAATTTTACTTATCTACAAGTCCTGTATAACTTCGAGAAATATTACAATGCCGATACGTCGTTTAAATCGACTCCTGCGCAGTATATAAGCAGTCTGCGCTCGAGTTTAAAGCATCAGTCTCACTGTATAGCTGAGAGGATACACACACACAAACCAAAAATGTTCGGAAAATTGGTGAGTAAATATACTACTATTATCTAGTTCCTACCAGTGGTTTCGTCTGTATTACTCAGAATTAAAATTACTTATAATTGGGTACTTTTGCCTTAATCAAAAATAAATTATTTCGACTGTTCAATACAATAAAATATTAAAAATTAATCATACTTTCATTAATTGATTTTATTACCAAATTAATTTTAGTATATTTAAGAAATAAGTAGGGGGAGTCCGGGAGAGTTTATCCACCTTTGACTAAAATGCTCATAAATCACTTAATATTTACAAAATATAATTTTCTACAAATTGTACACTAAGCTGCATTATTAAGCTTTATTTTTTTCAAAGAAAAGTTTATAAATCATTAATACTTTATAAGTAATTAACGATTTTTACCGAAATGAGATTTGGCTAATATCTCCCGCCTGGGTGGGAGACTTGACCCGCAAAGAAGGGAGACTTTACCCGGGTTTAAAACTAGGCAAAATAAAAACAACTAATTGTAATTATTTAAATAAATTTATTGAAAAAAACATAGCACATATTAAAACGTAGTAAATGAGAACAAGAGCTACATAGTTGAGTATCTTTGGCATATGGGTAGTGAAGAATTAAATACTTATCTCATATCACAGTAAATGTTTATAAACATTTATCATTTGAAAATCTTTGTAACATAGTTTATAACAATATAATTAAGAATTTTCACAACCAACAGTTATTTTATAAAGAAAACAGTCTTTCCACAGCAAATTATCTTAAACATTTAAGAATATCTTATCAATATGGAGAAAAATACTAACTAATATAGGCTAGGTATCTTTGTAGCAAACATAACAGTCTGAACCTATTCTATCTGTGTCATAACTAAAAAAATAACTAAGGTAGGTACAAATAGTAAAACGCTAAAAGTAGGGCAGCAAAATATAAAGACTTTCAAAACTAGGAACAAAAAAACTCAAAACAAAAAAAAATAATCTTCGAAAAAAATCTCATAACCATCAGTCTTCCTTTTTTCGTTGGATCAATTAGGACAAATGAACTGTTCCTTATTTTCATTTTTAAACAGTCCAACGCATATTTCATGGACATTTTTACCACAAAAAGCGCAGTCTCATATCCATAACTTCGTTTTCTCCACAGATTACCCTGGGTAAAGCCTCCCACCGTCGCCAGGGTAATATCTCCCACCCCACACCAAGCTGTCTGTTATTCAATTTCTAAAAAAAACTATAATATTTAAGTAAAAACTGTCTGTTGCAAAGGTTATTAGGATAATTGCACTATAGATATATATTCATGACACGCTGAAATCTATAAACAGTAAGCAATAGCACCCAAATCTCGAAAATTGAAAAAAATTACTTACCGGGCACAAAAACCTGTTTTCACGTGTTACTCGAAAACGAAACTGCCGATCGCAACGCCACCACGTGAGCAAGGTGGGAGGGGACTATGAGTTTTAAGAAGTGTGGCAATTTTGAAATATCTAGTTATACAGAGATTCTATGATCAGTGGCTATTGTCTCCTCCCTGCTAAACTCTCCCGGACTCCCCCTACCTATGATGTATGACGCTAAAAAAACGTGACGTCACAATACACAATCTCGTACAAAATTCGTAGAAAACTGTCGTTTTTGACAGTTCGAAAAAAAGTATTGAATTTGACTAGTTAGCAAGTACCCACCCTTAAATAAAACTTGTTTTTTAACATCACATGTCGCGTTCCTCGGAAGCCTTCCTTTAATAGTTACACCAATAATTTAACACTTCTTTTTTATTAAAAAAAAAAACCGGAACAACAATCTGTGGATCACACAAAGAATGTTCCGCGTCAACAGTGCCGTCAGTCACCTAGCCTGTTACCCCCGAAGGGGTAGGCAGAGGTGCACATTGCGGCACTTAATGCCACTGTACGATGTAGCACCCACTTTTCACTATTTATATTATGAGTCCCATGTAATAGGGGGTGAGCCTATTGCCATATACCGGGCACATTTCCAGGCTCCGTACTACTACTGAGGTTTTTTTTAAACACCCTATAATACTTTGCTCGACCCGGAAATCGAACCCGAGACCCCTTGTTAGCGACCACTCGGCCAACGAGGCAAATATTTATTTACATTTAAAAGTATTCCTAACCGACGAGCATGCATGTAAAGATTGATCTCTGTTGATGAAGCGAAAGAGGTAGGAATCGTAGCAATTGGCGTTCCATAGTCTCTGCCTACCCATTTAGCAGACAGGCGTAAGATTATGTATGTCTATGTATGTGTATTTCCTAAATCAAATGCTACCTATCCCTCCGAGGCAAGTAGGCGTGGTAATAAACCGATTATCATAACACCTAATTTACGACAAGGCGAAATAGTAGTCGACAGGTGTACGCATAATTATATGAATTAACATTATAATTAATATGTGGGCACTTATCAATCTTAATTTTGATGTGGGCAAACTGTCAACTGATATTATCATACGTTGCCATGGTGATATACCTGTTTGTATCGTTTTTTTCTTCTCCTCTTATAATATCTTCTGATTCACTCCGTTGTGGGAACCAAGACAGTTACTCATGTCCCTGGGACGTGCCGGACTTTAATGTTCCGGTGTTTTCATGGTTGTATCTCCTGTAGATCCTGGCTTACAGGATTTGCAGCGGTTTTGGGAGGTTGTGGCGGGCTTGTCCCATTACAAAATACTTTTGTATATCGTCAATAGATTCAGAATATGACAGTGTGTTCTACAAACATTTCTTAAGTCATAAACAGTGACATAGAGTATTTTATACATTTCCACCACCTCTGCTATTCCCGCGGGTATCGTTAGACTAAGACCGACAGACTAAGAAGAGAAGTATACGTTTCTAGTAGTTTAGTCTTATTAATGTACACAATTATGTCAGTTCAAACGTCTTAGGGGGTCGCGAAAAACCTAACGGGTAACCGGGGCTCCGGCTCGACGTGCAGAAGAAGGAACGGGGTGGTTTTTAGTCAGTAAGAGTCTGACACTTCCTCCCGTCTCACCCAGGCGGGAGCAGTCATTCGATGATTTTCCCCACTTAAAAAAAATAAATAAAAAACGTCTTAGGGGATCGGGATAAGAAACAAGGGTACCTACATTATTATTTTTATGAGATAGCCGGTAAACGAGCAGTCAGATCACGTCGGTCGGTAAGCAATCGTCGTCGCCCACAGACACCTGGAACACCAGATCCGTTACAAGTGCGTTACCGACTTTTCTTTTTTTTTTCTTTTTTTTTTTTAAATCGTTGCCCCGCACTAGGATTTTCTCCTGTGTCGTGGGTGCGTTTACAAACATACAAGTTCACATACACATGACACTCAGACCCGAAACAACAATTTGTGGATCACACAAAGTGTTGTTCCGTGCGGGAATCGAACCCTTTTGGCGATTAGGAATTTTTAGGATTGTTGGGGATTCGGGGATTGTGGAGATTGGTGATTTACGGTCTGGTAAAATACATGGCTACTTTTTTGTTCACGGGGACGCGGACAAAGCCACCGGCTGAAGCTAGTACTAAATGATTTCGACATTTTAGTAGGCGGCATTCGATTAGTTGGAATTACAATGATATTATGCATGAATGCAGTAGACAAATTATAATTTGTATGGCATTCTCGCGTGAGGACTTTCGGATTATTGTATTTTAGTGTTTATATATGTACGTCAAAATGTATGTATATCTTAAGTATTTGTCATGAATGTCAAAATGAATTAATTTCCGTTTTTAGTTAGATATTGTGTTTTGAAATTGGAATGTATGTAATTGGGTATATTCCTAAGTCAAAAATAAACTATTTCAACTGTTCAATAGGCTCACCCCCTATTACATGGGACTCATAACATAAATAGTGAAAAGTGGGTGTAACATTGTACAGTGGCATAATGTGCACCTCTGCCTACCCCTTCGGGGATAAAAGGCGTGATGTTATGTTATGTTATGTTCAACTGTTCAAAATAAAATATTAAAAAATAATCACACTTTCATTAATCGATTTAATGACTAACTTAATTTTAGTACAATTATAAGTATTTCCAGCATTTTTTTAAGAAATAAGTACATATGCAGTTTGACGGTAAAAAAACGTGACGTCACAATACACAATCTCGTACAAAATTCATAGAAAACTGTCGTTTTTGACAGTTCGAAAAAAGTATTGAATTTGACTTGTTGGCAAGTACCCACCCTTAAATAAACTTATATTTTACGATCACATGTCGCGTTCCTCGGAAGCATAGTATAAAGAACAATTTATACTGTGTCGGAAGCCTTCCTTTAATAGTTACACCAATAAGTTAACATCAGCTTTCAGCAATCGGTCCAAATGTATCAACCACTATTCACTATTTTATGTTATGAGTCCCATGTAATAGGGGGTGAGCCTATTGCCATATATCGGGCACAATTCCAGACTCCGTGATACCACTGAGATTTTTTTTAAAACCCAGTAATAATTTGGCTAACCCGGGACCCCTTGTCCGGCATTCGCACTTGCGACCACTCGGCCAACGAGGCAGACATTTCGAATATATTATATTAGTAAGAAGTAAGACAGTGCGATGTCGTGTCTAATGAATATTACGTCTAAATTGATTGTTCGATTGCAGTAGCGTTGCCTAAACAACTATGCCTCACAGTTTGCAATCCTGCCTACATTGCCCGTCACGCGGTCACGCCCCGTTTACTTGTAACGAAACGTACATTGCACTTCATTTTCCAATAATTTTTAAACTAAATAATTGCTTTATTTATTAAGATAACATGAACGTTCCAAAGTAAAATTACAATCATTCTAATCAAATTTAAATGTAATGAATGTAATAAAAAAATAATAAATTACAATATACATAGATAATAATTTTTTTTAAGATGTAAATATTTTAGTTTTAAATTATTTACGTATTAAGTTTATAACCATTATTATGTAGTAGGTATACCTAATTTATTGAATAAAAAAATCAATATACACAACTACAACTAAATAAAAACTAAAATATTTACACCTTAAAAAAAGTAATAATACCTAGTAAAAATGCTATCTTAAGGCATCAAAAAAAATTTCCTCATCGCTACCGTGATGTAGGGTGCCCAAAAGACTGGCAGCATTGCCAAATGAATGGCAATGCATAACCTTTGCCCAAGGTAGTAGCCAGCCCTTCGATCACCTGAAGTGTCAACTATCCTCCTTACAATATCTAGTAGTAAAGACGATGTGCACTTTCAATAATCAGTTTTAAAAATATATACATATATAGGTTTCTAACTGCCTCATTGGCCGAGTGGTCGCAAGTGCGACTGCCGGGCAAGGGGTATCGGGTTCGATTCCCGGGTCGGGCAAAGTATTACTGGGTTTTAAAAAAAATCTTAGTAGTAACACGGAGTCTGGAATTGGGCCCGATATGGCAATAGACTCACCCCCTTTTACATGGGACTCGTAATATAAATAGTGAAAAGTGGGTGATACATTGTACAGTGGCATGCACACCTCTGCCTACCCCTTCGGGGATAAAAGGCGTGATGATATGCTATGTTATGTTTCTAACATCTTCCCGCTGCTTCGTCCGCGTCCCCGTGGGATAATATCTACTTTTAAAGTAGTGTATGTGATGTGGTATACTCAGCTATAACCTACCTCTGTTCCAAATTATATCTAAATCCGATCAGTAGGTTTTGTGACTAAGAATTACATGTGATAATCATTATAAAAATTGTCCCACATACATCGCCTACAAGTTAAATGTTTACAATTAATAAAGTTAAAATGTTACCATTGTTAGGAAGTAATTACAAATATGCTTACAACTAGGATAAAATATTATTGACTGCACGGTTGGTGCGGTGGCTGTTCAAGCGGCTGCCGTGCAATGTGTCGCGGGTTCGATTCCCGCACGGAACAACACTTTGTGTGATCCACAAATTGTTGTTTCGGGTCTGGGCGTCATTGTGTATGTGAATTTGTATGTTTGTAAACGCACCCACGACACAGGAGAAAATCCTAATGTGGGGAAACGTTTTAAAAAAAAATATATATTTCTCCTACAACAACAGCTTAAAAATGCCCACTGCTAAGCAAATCCTCTTCTCACATGGAGAAGGTTCGAGCATTAATCACCACGCTTGCTCAATGCGGGTTGGCGATTACAAACTTATAATTAGAAATTATAAGCCCAAGTTTCCTTACGATGTGTTCCTTCACCGTTTGTCAGTGGTGTCTAAATAAACTTAGAAAGTACATATAACTCGGAAAAAGTCACATTGGTACTTGCCGTTGGTAGGTTTCGAACCCGCGCCCTCATGCATGAGAAGCGGACATCTTTAACCTGCGGATACCACCACGATATTATTTCTCCTAAAACATTATTATAACTTCTCTATTTTATTTATTTATTTATATATGCTTTATTGTACACATTTATGTAGTTTAAAACAAACAATTCAACTTAATATGCGTACAATGGGCGGTCTTATCACACAATGGTGATTTCTTCCAGACAACCTTTGGATGGAAATATTTGTAAGAAACCAGATAAGGGGTAGTTACGTGTACAATAAAATAAAAAAAAGACAAAATAAAAATGCCTACAATACAACCTACAATAGATATAATATACTAGCAACATATAAAAAGAAATACATAAATAATATACAAAAATACAATAAGCTATGTGTGTGTGTTTGTGTATGTGTGTGTGTGTGTGTGTATTTTATTCACATTCTTATCATTTTAGTGACTTACTAAATAACCAACGTACTCAACATTGCACGCATTAAACTTTCATTGTCAGATACTCATCTAAGGTAATATGTGAAAGAGTAACAGTCCTCACGCGCTACTTCGTCAGCGTAGATTATGATTCCTATTTTATTCCATTGGAGAATAGGGTAGTGTCCTAAATTTTACTTTAAAGTCCGTCTGGTACATTAAACTGTCAAGCACCAAGCGGTCACCGGTGATCGCGACCTATTGTTCTTTAATTGTGTCTATAAAACCGGTACTCGACGAGTTAATTTAAAACTTTAGACGCGTAGTTTTTCTTTTCTCACAAAATTAAATACTTTCGACGATATATTAATTTGAAATATCATGTGACGTCACAACGTGTCACATTTTGTAGCACGTTATGACGTAACGACTAACGACCTCACACTCCTAAACTTAGCGCCATTTTATCTAAGTATTGCAACTTAATACGAGAAAATAACAAAAAAATACGCGTCTAATATTTTTTCATTATCTAACTGACGGACTAATTAGATTTTTAATTTTGATACTCTGGAAACTACCCAATTTAATCGGGATAAAAAGTATCCTACCTAAGTCAGTCAGCCATACCCTGCCTGTATACCAAATTTCATCAAAATCTGTTCAATAGTTTCAGCGTGATTGATGGACAAAAATCCAAACACATCCAAATAAAGAAACTTTCACATTTATAATATTAGTGAGATAGTAGGAAATAGGACAAATATTTAAGATTTCTTTTGCACGCAGTTCGTTTTCTTCGCCATGCTGGTGGTAGCCCTGGCCAGGGAGTACCCAGCAGGTGTGCACCCAGCTGTGTGCCCGAACTACCCATACTGTGACGCGGATGCCCTTGCCCGCCACACCCCTGACGGCATGCCCATCCCGCAATGGGGATACCACCCTGGTGTTGCACCAGCTGCTCCTGGGTAAGTTAAGAGTCTACGACTTATTCATCACCATCAATCGATAAGGAATTAAGGAGTGGAGTATCTTGCCAAAGTCTGTGTATCTTCTTCAAGTCCTGAGTGTAGAGGTATAAGTTGCAGACAGGCGTACTCCATTGTTGGCCACATCCACCATCGCTTATCACCAGGCGACTGCTTGGCCTAACGCCGTCCTATTAAATACCAAAAAATTACAATCCTTAACAGTCTGCTAATGGACTATAGGCCTCCTCGGAATAGAGGGTTTGCCATGATCTTCACTTGACAGGTCACTTGGAGATGTCAGCTTAAAAATATAATAAAACTTTAGCATCTCTTCACTTTTTCGCCTCTCTAATTAGTAAGCAGAATATTGGTTACCAGTATACCACCACTTCGTCGATTAAATAAATTTTTAATGTAGAATCTGTATGTATAGCAACTAAAAAAACCTTTGTCTTCACAGCGCTGTTCCCGCCGCTCCGAGGTATCCCGCAGACTTCCCCCCAGCGCTCTGCCCCAACTACCCCTACTGCTGGTGAATAACCCATAAAGCAAAAAACCTTTTCCGACGCAACTATATGACAGCTTTACCATCTTAGAAGAATGAAGACGCTGCCAACCTCTTTCGTAGAAACTATCCGAACGCATTTTTAATCTGTGCTTAAGTCATCCATCTGTCAATGTCATGTAGTTTTTGTAATGTGTTCGCGCCAAAACTTGTCAAAGCGTTTTCATAAATATCTATAGACAACAGAAAATATAAAAAATGACCACTGAAATGTTTTTGAAAAATTGAGAAAAGATATTATTAAAATACTGGCAGGTATCTATAGTAATTTTTCTCGATTGGTTGAAATTTTGTATTTTAGTGGTCATTTTTGTTTCTGATTTTGTAATATTGTTTGGATATTTTTTCAATAGAATTTTTACGAATTATTTTTTTACGAAGATTCTAAGCACTGCCATATCGTTTAGAAAATGTAAATAGACGCATTGAATCTTTCGTCTTCGTAAGAGAATGCTTGTTTGCATTTGTATTTGATGTAATTTTGTAAAAACGTGTGTATAAATTGTAAATAAACAAGATTTTTTTTATAAAGTTTGTTGTTTTTTTGCGTTAATGTTCTAGCCACTAATTGTTTAAAAACTATTTCTGGGAAAATACACATTTCAAAAAATTACTTAGGTATTTGTTATATTTTTTTATCTAAGTACAGTGGCCATCAGATGAACCTATTCCAATCTGTCAATCCATTGGATTTTCGACTATGAATATGGCAGAAGGTAGGTACAATAAAGTTGAAAAAAAAGTAAAAAAGTCAAAGCATAATAAAATCATCAAACAATAATTTGGTACTTTTGAAACGTCAACAAATACAAAATAAATAATAGTCTATCAGTCAGTCCGTCAATGAAGCTAGGTGAAGCTAGGTGAATATGAAATATTTGACTTTAAAAGTATAGGTTGACCTACTGACCACCGTCGGTACTAGATTTAAAAGAAAGAAAGGAAAAACATTTATTTGACAATTAACACACAAAACAACGATTATAAAAAATAAAAATACAGATATATAAACAAAATACTAATAATAAACTTAAAAGACATCAGAACAAAAAACATCACAGTGTAGTAACAAAATAATAATACGATAAAACAGAATTTTGAATATACAAACAAAATTCCTAAATAACCTTAGAAATTATGTACATACGTAGGTACATACAAACTCGGAAAAAGTCACATTAGCACTTGCCAGGTTTCATACAATTCGTCATTGTTTATTCACTATGTCATAATGTAACTGACGAATAATTAATATAACCATCGCATGTATTGTATTGAACTACCTGAACGCATTTGGTACTACAAGGACGCGCAACCACACGGCACGTTCCCGCGCTGTCATTGTGACAGCTGAGCAAATATGGCGGGAGAAAGTTGAGACTGCCTCGTTGGCCGAGTGTAAGTGCGAGTAGTGCGACTGCCGGGTTCGATTACCGGGTCGGGCAAAGTATTCCTGAGATTTAAAAAAAAAATCGGGGTCGGGCAAAGTATTAAAGAGTTTTTTTTTTAATCTTAGTAGTAGCACGGAGTCTGGAACCGGTATAAGGTAATAGGCTCACCCCCAATTACATGGGACTCATAACATAAAATAGTGAAAAGGGGGTGTTACATTGTACAGTAGCATATTGTGCCCAAATGTGCACCTCTGCCTACCTCTTCGGTATTTACAAAAATGAAAATTAAACCAACAGTAACAGGGTTTCCTATTACAATAAAGATACAATACAGTGCTTAAGAATATACTAAAATTAAAATACCAATAAAAGCACACTGAGAGTGATTCGGAAAATTCCATTATTTGACAGTGGACCGCCCAATCAAGGTCAATTTAAATCTGTTTCAGGCCATCACTTTACAGTTCATTTTCATTGCGACAGCCTTCTTTATTTTATTTTTTAAGGGGGTAAATCATCGAATGACTGCTCCCGCCTGGGTGAGGCGGGAAGGAGTGTCAGACTCTTACTGACTAAAAACCACCCCGTTCCTTCTTCTGCACGCCGAGTCGGAGCCCCGGTTACCCGTTAGGTTCTCCGCGACATTGCGACAGCCTAAGTTAACGTTATGGTAAAATATGTCCTCACAACCAAGCCATCGCGAAGGACACACCGGGCGTCAGGGAATCGCAGGACGATCTCCAGCAACCGTAACCGGCAAGCATGGGTGGCTCACCGCCCGACTAGGTCCAGACCCGAGCGTACGGCGCATCGCGTTTCACGCGCGCCTCAAAGAGCCATCAGTCCACCACGGATGGGGCTCAATAGAGCTGATGCCGATACGGAACCGAGGAGGACTGAACGGGTTGTCGGGGCTCCGGCTCGAAGTGCAGGGGTAGGAACGGGGTGGTTTTTAGTCAGTAAGAGCCTGACACTTCCTCCCGCCTCACCCAGGCCGGAGAAGTGATACAATGATATTCCCCCTCTTAAAAAATGGTAAAATTAGTGTAAAAAAAATGATTAATTTGTACTTATTAGTCATTAACAGGCACAATAGATACTATGAGCCTCCTTGATAGGTAGCGCTTGGCATTGATTTAATGGTGTTGGGAGATCACAGTGAAAAAGGTTCAGAGATTTATCTCAGAGCGTTGTTTCCCGGTCTGTTTTTTTATGGAATAGGAGGCAAACAAGTTAACGGATCACCTGATGGTAAGCGATCAGCACCGATCATGGACACTCGCAACACCAGAGGAGTCACAGGTGCTTTGCCGGCCTCTAAAAAGGAATACGCTCTAATCTTGATGGTTTGAAGTATCGTATTCGTATCGGTTCGGAAATACCGCCGACGACAGATGTTTTTTTTTTATAAATGCTTTCAATAATATTTATGTAGTTCCTTAGGCTCCCCACAGCCTTATGGGGTTATGATCAGTAGTGAACACCTAACAGCTTATAATGATTGTGTTGACGACGTATACTCCGTCTGTTTAGGTAGTTAACTATTTGTAAACAAACCATAAAAAAAGTTCTTTATAGTTGACATTTCCACGATTCAAAATACTTCATAAGAAAATAAAATTGTTTCCCTTTTTACGACAGTTTGCTCTATTAAATGTTATGTTTCTGTTCCTTTTCACTTATTTCTTAATGAATATTAAATATATCTGCTTGAGGATATTAATTTAATAATATTTATTAAATAATATAATATTTCATTCCAATAGACACCATAAAGAGCCTAAAATCCCAGGTATCCAAAACGTTTCTTTAAGAACGAAGCAATATAATGTTGTCAAATTAAAGAGTACAACGAAGTTGTAGCGCGACAATGAAAGTAGCGTGTATTACGTTTAGTCGGTTAATCAGGCGCCATTGACAGCTCTCTCGTCGTTTGCGCTCGCGTTCCTATTTTGTTGAATTTCACTTGTTTCTTTGTTTTGTTTTTGTTATTAAGTTATTTAAGTTTAGGTTATTCATCGTTTGTAATTAATGTGTTCAAATATATTGAAGAAACTTGGCCCAAAGACAGATATCCGTACAAGAAAGAAATCCGTACATCAGATTCAGAATAGTTTCTATTTAAACATGATAATGATATAGACCCATAGGCTAGGCTCTTGTACGATTTAGGCATTTGTACTTGTATGTGTGTGTATGACAAATGAACGATTTTAAAGTGAAAATAGTTAAAATTAAAACACGAGAAATATTTGAAGTAATAGTAGGTTAAGTATCTCTGTGTCACGTGGTTTTCTTTGTTTACCTTTAGTTAATTACCTAAACAGATGGACTATAGCTCTTTAGTCGGCTCTATTCTGAAATGGATTTACTCTACGGTCGTTACACACTTGAAATATTTCACGCATCATTTAACTCGACCTTGCTAGCGATATGTGGGGGCAGGTGGATGGCACTATGTGAGATGGCAACAGCCAGATATTAATTTATCAACATAATGGATCAATTATGTGGTTGAATAAGGGTTATAGTTGTACAAATATTAAGGGATTGGATGGCTAACGAGGGCCGCATCACCTGATGGTAAACAATCGTTGCTGGCTACGGACGCGTGCAATGCCAAAGAGTAACCATCTCGTGGGGACAATGGTATTGGGTAAAGTCAAGTCCCGTCAAAGGATTTATTTCAATTAAATCATGATTTGGTACCTTTGAAACGTCAACGAATATAAAATAAATAATAATTCTATCAGTCAGCCCGTCAGTGAAGCTAGGTGCTCGTTCCAAATTATACAGCGAGCAAGAAACTCCATTCGCTACTCTCAAAAAAAATAATGTTTTACAATCTCACTGGTTGGTACATTATCAATATGTAAGAACAATGTAAAGACACGCTCGACGCATTACAGCACTTACTAAAATAAAAACCAAAACAAAAAAATACGTATTTTAAAATTGCTGCGGTAACATCGCGAAACACCAACTGTCAAACTAGAGTGCGTGAAGTCTTAAATGAGTAAATAAAAAATGCAAATCCAACAAGACGTCTGTAATCTGTATTTTTGTTTACGTTCCTTACCCACGTATGACATCACGCGACGTGATTGATGTTTACAGGAACAGATTAAAAATGTTGTAATTATCAATTTTTAAAAATAAATATAAAACTTTGTTAAATCTCAAAAAAATCTTGTTGACAATATCGTTAAATACTTATTATGCAGATTTTATTTATGTACACTTTATATTTTTTTTTTATTGTTGTCCGATCCTCTATTGATCTTTTGTCAAAGTATTCATCCTCTTTTGAAGTCGGCTAGAAACAAAAACAAAATTTCTTGGTTCTCTCTTCACTGCCACCATTCCACAAAATGTCACATATCAACTGTCGTTAAAATCTGGTCCTACGATCGCTTCCTGAAACATTAAACTTCTTCCAAAACAGTCTTATTTAAACAGATAAATAAAATTGGAGTGTCTGTTTGTGATATATATTAAAATAACCGCTTTTTTACTACATGCATACGATACACATACCAAAATTGAAAAAATGAAAGAAAAAGCATTTATTTGGCAAATGGCACAAAAATTTAAGTGTGGGAGAGCCATGCTTCGGCACGAATGGGCCTGCTCGACCGGAGCGATACCACGGCCTCGCAGAAAACCGACGTGAAGCAACGCTTGCGTTGTGTTTCGTCGTGTGAGTGAGGTTACCGGAGGCCCAATTACCTTCC